CAATTTCATGAAAAAATTTCATAAGATTAACGATGGATGAGAGTAGTTTTTACGGTTTTTACAAATTGGAGTGATTTTCATTTGATCGCTCCTCTCTCTCTCTCTCTCTCTCTATATATATATATATATATATATATATATATATATATGGAAGAGTTTAAACGATAATCTCTGTGATTTACGAGAATGTGAGAACAACTTACCAACCAAGTAATGTGATAACAATCAAAATTAAGAGATTTTTTAAATTTAAAATAATATTATAAACAATTTAAAAAGTTTTGGGAGGCATAAGGGTAATCTTGGAATTCGAAGTGATAATATTTAAAAAACACGATAAAAAAAGATTGATCATCTAGGAAATGATAACATCATGGGTTATAGTGGTTATCTTGGTTAATAGAGGAAGAAGGTGCCATAAGTTTTAAGAAAATGGGAGGAAGAATCGAACAACAAGAAGCTTGAGGGAGAAGTTTGCAGAGACAATTGATTCAAGGTTTGCTTATCACAAATTTATCACACTTAAAACATGAATTTCACACAGTCGCTCGGCTTGAAAATTGTTTGGTTCGATTACGGTACGAGTATCACAAGAAATCCAACTACAATCTGTCCATTCGACTAGGGTTAACATATCTACTCGATTCATATTTGAGTGTGATAATCATGTGATACATTAACCGAAAGATGAATCAATTTTCACAAGATACGATTCGTATTTGGGTACGACTACAATCTGTTTGGTTCAGTTAGGTTCCACCATCACACGATTATTATAGCCAGTCATGTATAGATTATCACATGATTATCACCTTATATGAGTGCACTTTGTTCGGTATCACAACCCTATCGATTATCACACTGTTATCATACTCAGTGGATACAATATGAATGTGATGGGAAATTTGGTGGTTGTATCGATTAGGTTCACAATTACCACACGATTATCACGCTGTTATCATACCCAATGAATACAAAACGATTGTGATGGAAAATTTGATGGTTGTATTGATTAGGTTCACGATTATCACACTGTTATCATACCAATGGATACAAAATGACTGTGATGGAAAATTTGGTGGTTGAATCGATTAGGTTCACGATCATCACACTGTTACCATACCCAATCGATACAAAATGATTGTGATGGAAAATTTGGTGGTTGAGTCGATTAGGTTCACAATTATCACACTATTATACCAAGAGATTTTGAAACTTCAGATACGATGAGGAGAAAAAGATGGGAAGAAAATGATGGACGTTCTACTCAACATGATCGATCACAAGCTGAAATGATAGGATAATTCCAATTAATAAAAATAAGATAAAAATTATAAAAAATACTTAATTACATTACTACTTCTAATGATTTATTTTTATTTAAAATAACTTAAACTATTGGTTAAAAAGATTTGAGGCCCACAAGTGTTTTCGCACTCTAGTAAATCACATGGATTCTCGTTTGAACTTCCCTCCACACGCGCGCACACACACACGCACGCACACACACACATACACATATATGGTATGCGGGTGAATTCAAACATGGTCCACTTACGAGAATGCAACGTCTATACCACATGTTATTTTAGAGCAACATCATATGTAATTAAAGAAGGTCAAACCTCTGAGTCGTCGTGCCAAACACCCGTACAATCATGAATGTATCATGTGATTTTTAGTATAAAATCACATATGATATAGACGTTCTCGTAAGTTGACTATGTTCTTGACTATATATATATATATATATATATATATATATGTATATACGAAAATGTTCAAATGAGAAGCCTCATAAATTTGAGAAGAGATTTCAATCATTAGATGGATTTTTCAATGACCAAGATCATAAAGGACAACATATGTAGATATAGGAAAAATTATGACTAATTAAATCACTAATTCACTCCCTTTTCAAAAGATTTGCCCAATTTCCTTCTTAAATAACAATTATATTACTCATTTTTTTAAATATAAATTATCTAAAATATAATTAGTATTTATAAATTATATGAAAAAAGAGAATTTCAATATCTTTAATATCATGATAACATTTATTCTTTAAGATTTATATAAGAATCTTAAACTGATTCAGAATCTCATTTATAAGCTATAAATTGACTCACGTACAAGTTATAATTAAGATTCACATATGAATCTATGCCATGATTAACATGTTCACCTATGAATCTTAAATTGACTCATAATTTTGGTTACAAATTTTAAATTGATTCATGTACAATTTATGATTAAGGGGCTGTTCGGTATCAACTTGTATAGCTTATTCGATAAGCCATACATAAGTGTTCATAAATGGCTTAATGGGCCATCAAAAGACTTATTTGCTCAACCAACAATGTAGAGTCATATACATACAGCTGACCCCTTTCCCCCACTTCTCTTCGAAAAAAAACACTTCTCTTCCTCCTTGAATAGATTTGTTGCTCTCTCCTCTTCCTCCTCCATAGATCTGTTGCCCTCTCTCAATCCACTAGTTGTAGGCGTCACTGCCCGAACTACACTCCTTCCATATCCCTTCTCTCCATCTCTCCTTCTCCATCCCTCGTTCTCCATCTTTTGATATGGATTTGATGCTGCCGGTTACAAATTTTCTCTTCTTGATCTCGATCTGATGCTCTTTGTTACAAGTTTTCTCTTCTCGATCTCGATCTCAATCTCAATCTGATGCTTCTGAAATGAGTTTTCCCTCCCTCTGTTGATCTCGATCTAAATCATATGAAAATTTGTTTCAAGTAATTTTATGATTCCTTTGGTTCTGGTGCCCAAGGAGGGTACCCGTGATGAATGTTTTTGCAATTGTATTGTTTTCTCTGAGACTTTTTTGGCTCTAAAATTCTCAAGTGTTTACACAAAATTGCATATGCTTCAATGTTTTTTTCTTCTACTTTAATGTTTTTGCCTCTACTTCAATCTTTTTACTTATGTGAAAACTTGTGTTTATGTTACTTTTTGGGTAATTTAATTTAGGTTTTGATTCGGTTTTAGTTTAGGGTTTAGTTTAATAAGGGTTGTATCATAAACTTTTCTGGAAAGAAATTGTAATAGATTCTTGTTGATAATGTTCTTGAATTAAATTTCAAATTAGGGGTTTTAATATGTTTTTGTTTGTGATGGTTAGAGGTTGAAGATGATAAATGTAAGAAAAATAAAAACAAATAATTATAAAAATATTAAAATAGAGAAAATATAAATGACCATTTTGCTCTCTTTGTTAGTAAAAGTGGTTGATGGCCATTTGTATGAGGGTTATTTTATAATAAATGAAGAAACAGGGACTACTTCGGTAATAATTACAAACCATAGGGACCAAATCCTTAATATTTTGACATTTAAATACCAAACACCAAGCATGAGTCGATCATGCATGCATGTGATCAATGACACAATTTTCTCTCCTCTATCTATCTCTCATACAGACGTAGCCCTCCATATTCGGTCTTATTTACTCCATTCAGCCAAACAATTCGTCCAATCTTTCCTCAAAAGCTTGCTAATCCTTCTCTCTCTCTCTCTCTCTCTCTCTTCATTAATCCCCAAAATAACAGAAAGGAAGTCATTGATTCATTCATTCAATGAAACGTCCGGCCATTCCTCCATTGTCTACGGTTCGTGCAGACCCACCATCATCACCACGTTATCCACCACCTGTCACCACCCCCACCACTGGCGCCCAACGCCGGATCGCCATTGCTGTCGACCTCAGTGACGAGAGCGCTTTCGCGGTTCAATGGGCTGTCCAGAACTACCTACGCCCAGGAGATGCCGTCATCCTCCTTCATATCCAGCTAACCTCTGTCCTATACGGAGCAGACTGGGGCCATGCAATGGATGCTAAAAACGCCTCGAAAGAAACGCGACAGAAACTCGAGGACGATTTTGATAGCTTCACCTCAGCGAAAGCCAACGTTCTGTCAGAACCATTGGTGGAAGCAAACATACCCTTCAAGATTCATATCGTGAAGGATCATGATTTGAAAGAGCGACTTTGTTTGGAGGTGGAGAGGCTTGGATTTAGTGCTATGATCATGGGGAGCAGAGGTTTCGGAGCCTCAAAACGGAAAGGCAAGGGAAGGCTTGGAAGTGTTAGCGATTATTGCGTACGTCATTGTGTCTGTCCGGTGGTTGTGGTCAGGTATTCAGATGAGGATGGTAGCGATGATGCTAGTGCAAAGAAGGTTGGGGCCGATGAGCTCACGCTTCGCCATGCTTCAGAGGAGGAGGTAGAGTTCCACGATGCTGATGATCATGATCTCAAAGGTGACTTCCAACTTTTTTCAAAGTTAATTGCTATTTATTAAGTAGATAAATAATAACCAATGCAATGTGAAAATGATCCTTCTTTGAAAAGCTTTGCACTGATCCTGATTGTCAATCCTTCATGTCCAAATGAAAGGGTCAATCCCTTGACCTAGCCATAATCCTGATTGATGCATGCTAGTAGTTAGTATCGTTATTTTTAAAGCAGTTTCAAGCATTAACCAAAACCAGTGATGACTATAATGTCACACTTCGAAACTATAATGGCCTTTCACATTACTGCCGATGTATTTTGTTTCGAATTCTCGTACACAATTCTATGATCCGTCGTGTTCATTTTACCTCTCATTCCAAGATAATTTTCCAAATTCAATTGTCGGTCGTGATGTTCATTTTACCTCTTCGCTCGAGCTTTTCAACTAGGCTTTCCTACTAGTTGGTATTTGGCAAGCTTATTTTTCTTGTAACCATCCGGACCAGTTTCTGCACACCTCGATTAATCTCTTAGGCTCTATTGCAAATATCGATCACAACACTCAAATTGATCCGTCAAACCGAGTAGAAACTTAATCAAAATCAACCCAAGATCCAAAATAAACTCAACCGTACTTTGTAATTCGGAAACGATAAACTCGAACTCTCAATGGAAACGACAAAATAATAATGGAAATATGAGATAGAAAGCAACACCAGATTTATGTGGAAAACCAAAGAAGAGAAAAATCACGGGCGGAAGAGATCACTGAGAAGTCCATTATAATCGATTACGAGAAGCTACCACCGCATCCATTTCAGACATTTTGTTCGTCGAGATAATTGCATTTTCAATGTCACAATACTTGAGAAACTAGAGAAATCGATGAAGAATTTATGGATAAATGCTAATGTAGATAACTTATTTTGTTGGAAGAATTTAAGTGATGGATATGTTATGGAGAGTATCCTCAAATGAATCGTGGTTGGAAACTACTTCAAAACTGCAACAACCATTGGGGTAACTTTCCAGCGGCTAAAGCCAGCCAGGCTTCCCAAAATATTCACACGAACAGTAGCTAACGTGGGTCATCACGCGAGTTAACCGACATAAAAGTCGCCATACATTCTGTTTGTAAAGCTAATGATTTCGTGAGACCACTTTTTACGCTTGAAACTTCACAGCAAAACTCTTGAAGGTAAAAAAATACGAACTTTCACAGTAAAAACACTGTGAAGGTTACGTTCAAGCGTTTTACTGTGAAGTTTCAAGTGTAAAAAAGTGGTCTCAAGGGTCTCACGAAATCATACTGGTTTCATAAGGCAAATGCTTGTTGGGATGATGCATGTTGTAGAGTCAAGCTGAAGATTGTAATATATACGCATTCGCCTTCATGAAACAAACCTCCAACACAAGCTTCAAAATACATCATCAAGACGAAAATAGGGAAACTAAATATGACTTATCGAAAGTGGATTAACAATCTCCGCCGGCCCTTCAAGGGCTACTCCAAACCATAGATTCCGACCAAGTTTGTAAACAAACAAAGTTAGCCGTCAGGAAGAACTTTGGTCATCATATCGGTAGGATTAATGTGAGTATATACCTTCCTCATCTTGAAGTCTCCCTTAGCAATGGCCTCTCTTATGGAATGATAGCGCACATCAATATGCTTTGTGTGCTTGTGGAACATCTAATCTTTTGTAAAAAATATAGCACTTTGATTATCACTGAATACAGGGTGTACTTTAAGCTCATAACCGCTAAGGTTATTGAACAAGCCTTTAAGCCACATTACCTACTTAAAACCCTCGGTAATGACCATGTATTCAGCCTCAGTTGTAGAATGAGAAACTATTGGCTGAAGAATGACCTTCCAACTGATGGCACATGACCCCATAGTAAACACATACCCGATAAGATAATATCGACCATCTATATCTCCATCATAGTCAAAATGAACATATCCCTGAACATAGTTTCTAGAAGTCTAAAAACACAAACAATAGTCTCTAGTAACCGATAAGTACCAGAGAACCCATTGAACCACCTCCCTTGCATATAATGGCTCACCATGCTCAGAAGATAGGCTAAATGTGGTCTTCTATAGATCATCACATACATCAATGACCCAATCGCAATATAGTAAGGAACACGAGACATGTATTCTTTTTCTTCATCAGAAACAGGGCATTGACATGCAGATAATTTAAAATGAGCAGCAATAGGAGTATTTACCATTTTGGCTCCATCCATGTTGAATCTCTTCAACACCTTCTCCATATAGGTTCTTTGACTAAGTGTTAAGGTTCCTGCCTTTCGGTCTCTTGAAATCACTATGCCAAGTATTTTTCGAGCTTTGCTCAAATCCTTCATTTCAAATGCCATAGCAAGTTGATCCTTGACCTTTTGTATGTCTTCCTTGTTCTTTTAAGCTATAAGAATATCGTCCACATATGGAAATAGGTAGACAAACAAACCATCTTCACATCTCCTTATATAAACGCAATCTTCATGTAAGCAACATAAGAACCATGTGAAGTCATAAAAGTATCGAACCTTTTATATCATTGTCTTGACGATTACTTTAGCCAATATAACAACTTCTTCAACCTATAAACCAAATCCTCTTGACCAACACTCACAATTCCTTGAGGTTGATCCATGTAAATCTATTCCTCTAACTCACCATGTAGACATGCAGTTTTAACATCTAACTACTCAAGCTCAAGATCATACAATGCTTTAATACTCAATAAAGCACATATAGAAGAATGCTTGACTATAAGTGAAAAGTATCCATAAAGTCAATTCCTGGAATCTGACTGAATTCCTTCACCACAATCCGAGCCTTGTATCTGGGAGGTTATACATCTAGCATTCCTTCCTTATTCTTGTAAATCCACTTGCATTTAATTGCCTATTTTACCTTTAGGAAGATGAACGAGCTCCTAAGTACCATTTTTGTGTAGGGACTCCATTTCATCATGCATTACCACAATCCATTTTTCTGAATCTTTAGAATCAACCGCTTCACTATACGAAGATGGATCCTCAACTGACTCCATCTCGAAGACAAGATAAATGCACATGATACCACCTCCACATCAGCAACCCGTGTAAGACAGACTATTTATCTTCAACCTCAGTCCTTGGGAATACGATGACGCCTCCTATTATCTCACAATTGTTTTCACCTTCGTCGTCTAATGGTAAGGGTGAAGGTGATTCTAATTCGCCACTACAAGGTTGTAGCTTAGTAGTGGTGAATTAGAATCACCTTCACCCTTACCATTAGACGACGAAGGCGAAGACGATTGTGAGATAATAGGAGGCGTCATCGTAGAACCAACTGCTAGATCCACGTCTACTCGAGATCTTTTAGAAGAACTAGGAACATCTATCTTCGGCTAATAAGAAACGGTAGGATTGCATAACATAGAGCTTTCATCAAAAATCACATCCGTACTCATAATGATCTTTCGGGTCTCCATACCTCATAATCTAAACCCTTTTACACCGGCTTTGAAACCTAAAAATATACATTTTATGGCTCTAGGCTCAAGCTTACCATTATCCGCTCTGGCATAAGTGGCACATCCAAATCCCTTCATGCTAGAATAATTAGTAGGTTTGCCCGACCACACCTTAAACAATGTTTTCTTGTCTAAGGCATATGAGGGAAAGCTATTAAAAGTAAAACAAGCAGTTGACGCGGCTTTGTCCCAAAATGCTTTTGCCAAACCAGAGTTCGACAGGATCACTGAAGCTTTTCCATGATCATTCGGTTCATACATTTTGCACACCATTTTGTTGGGGAGTTTTAACCATTGCATGGTGTCTAGTAATGCATTAACTAGTACAAAAGGCATTACACTCTGCCAAACAAAACTCTAGTGTTGTGTTCTCGAACTTGGAGAGAAAAGGAAAGAAAGGGAAGGGAAGGAAAAGAAAGGGAGGGAAAATAATTTTTTTATTTGTGTTTTCGAAAGAGAGAGAAAAGGAATGAAAGGAAAAGAAAAGAAAATAATTTTTCGTGTTCTTGAAGAGGAGAGAAAGGAAGGGGAAGATGTCATTTTTACTAATATATCCCTTAAAAATATATTCTTTAATATGAAATATTGAGTAGTTTTGTAATTTTAATAATTTTCTAAAGAGTTATAATTTCTTTCGTTTCCTCCCACATTTGGGAAGAAAGTATTGGAATGAAACTGATAATTATTTTCCTTCTCTTTCCTTCATTTCTCTCCTAAAAAAGTATTGGAAGGAAACTTGATGAGTCGTAACACTAGTTGTTAATGAATTGTACTGATCATAATGGGCTTTAATGGCTCTTAATGAACTATATTGGGCCTTTTATGGGTTTAAATGACTCTTAATGATTTATATATTTGCCTTGGACAACTACGGACTTTATTAATATTTTTCTTTCATTTTCAAATGCAGAATATAACTAAGTCCACAGCGAAACCGTGACAAATCTAAATATATTTGTCTCGCATTTGCTACGAATTTTTATCAAGATTTGTTTTTTTTTGAATATCGAACAGTGCTCAAATATGGCATTCTCCATGGCACAATATGGAGCAAGACATGTCTGCACTATTATGATAAGAGTTATAGCGTTTCTATAAGATGTGACTCACACCATGGCGTCTTGAGACATGCTATTTTGCGCCGCGGCATAAGTATTTTTTAGGGCGTGATTTAGTTTTTTAACCTTTGCGTTTTTAAATTTTTTACTTTAACTTTTACATTTTTATAGATTTATCTAATCATATTTCTTACAATGTAAATATATTTGTCTGATATTAGCTACGGATTTTATCAAGATTTGTTTTTATTTTTTTTTTATATCAAATATAATTAGATCCGTAGCAAAACCGTGATAATATAAATATATTTGTAGCGGATTAGCTACAGATTTATCAAGATTTGTTTTGATTTTTTTAAATATCAAATTCAACTAGATCCATTGCAAAGCCGTGACAATCTAACTATATTTTTCTTGGATTAGCTACATATTATCAAAATTTATTTTGATTTTTTTAAATATAGAATACAATT